CGCAAACCACCCCCTGTGTGTCTCAGGGCCACACGTGGCTCAGGCCACCCCACTCACCAGCCAGTTATCTCCCCGTCTGTGAGCAGCTGGGTGCACACAGGTTTTGTGGTCCAGTGTGGTTTCTATAAGCTGCTTCCCCAACATGGGCTTCTGGGACAAAGGGATTTTATGAGTGTCAGTACAGATGAAAGTGTGATTTCCGAGCAGGGGGAACACAGAGTCAATAGCCTTAATGTATCTGTTTAGCTCCCTGGATGATCCTGTGGAGACCCTGGGGGCTTGGGTCTGGGGGTGGGGCCTTCCCACAGGGAGCGAGGAGTTGTACCTGTCGACTCCTGGGTCCTGCTCATGTGTGAGACCCCTTTCCCTGCCTTCTGTCTCCAGGTCCCTCAGAGCATGGACCAGTCAGAAGACGAGGGCTTCCAGTCGGCCTCTAACTTGACTCCTGATTCCCAGTCTGAACCGAGCGTGACCCCTGACCTGGACGTGTGGGAGGCTGCACTCACCTACGAGGCCAGCAAGCGGCGGTCCTGGGAGAGGATCGGATGGTGCGTCCCCCCTGGACTGCTGTGCATGGGTCCCGACCTTGAGATGGGTTAGGAACCCCCAGAGGCCCGGAACTTCCCAGAATGACTGGGAGGCGCTGCTGGCCAAGTGCCAGACTGCTGTGTCAGCAGTTCAATCCTACCTACCCCTCCTGGGGCCACTGGCAAGGGACCCAGCCACTCTATAGCCTTGCCAGCGCATCTTGTTCCCTTTTTGGGTCTCAGCCCCTCGAGGGGCTGAGGATGGACCCCTGCTTGCTCTTAGCACTGTCCGTCCCTGTCCTGAGGGCCTAAGCCCTCCTCCAGTCGGGCTGGGCCATTTGCTGCTCCAGACCTTGGGCCTGAGCTGGACTCTTGTTGGCGAGGCTGGGGGAGGTGCTGTGGTGGGCATCATGTCCTCACTGGCCAGGTAGTTGAGCTCTAGGTCGGTTTGCCCTCTGGCTCATGTGTGGCAGGGAGGTGCTGTCCTCTCACACAGCGTTCCGTCCCCCGCCCCCACAATCTCCTTGCAGCCCCCCGGGCCACAGAGAAGAGCCTTATCTGACAGAGGCAGGAAGGGAGGCCTTCGACAGCTTCTGCCGGCTCTGTGAGGCGGGGCTACAGGTGCTGGGCGGTAGCCTCCTCCCTCCCCAGCAGCGCGTCCTCCTGCACGAGGGTGAGCTGGTGCAGGACACGCTCAATGTCCTCATCGGGGTGGCCTCCACCACCTTCTCACTCTGCCAGGTAAGGGCCCAGCGGGGGCTCGCCTCTCTCTGCTGGGTCAGCTCCACTGTCCAGAGAGTGGCCTCGCATGGGGCCCAGGCTGCTTCCTTTGAGCCTGGTCCTTTGCAATGTTCTCTGAACACAGAGATGTGTGCTGCTGTTAGTGGCTCTGGGAGAAATGGGCATGTCCGGCTCACCTTCCAGCTACTGCCTCGCCTTCTGGCTCTGGCTCTGACCCCGACCCCACCCCACTCCCCACGCTAGCCCTGGCCTGCAGGGGCTCACATCCATGATCTCTGTCCACACCACAGGCTGCCCCTCTTGGCTATGCCCCACACCATCTGTCCCTGACGCCGTGCCCTGCCTTCTCCGTACACCTCCGGCAGCTAGCTTGGTGCTCTAAATGAGTCCTTTCCTGGACTCTGAAATGCCCACGTTGGCATCTGACATCCATCTGGGCCTGAGCCTGCAGAGCTGTTGCAGCACCGGGAGCCACCCTGACCCCTGACCCTGCTCTTCTGCTGCAGCCAGCTCAGGCCTTCATGGTGAAGCCGGGCGTGTATGTGTCCGGGACGTCACCCGAGAGCATGCACAGCCTCCTGTCCGAGGTGGCCGCGTGCGGGACCTACTACATGCGCCTAAGCCACTTCTCACTGCAGCCCGTCCAGGATGCTGTGGGCAGCAAGGGCCTCGTGTTTCAGGTATGCCCCGCCCCTACATCTGTGCCCCTGGAGCCCACTCACTGAGGAGGAACCAGGCTTCCGTGACTAACCTCCCACAGGTGGCAGCTAATGGTGTCTTCCACCATGCAACTGGGGCCTGGGCAGGGGGTGGGTGCAGGGCAGGTGGGTGGGGTCCAGGCACCCACTGAGGCACTAGTGGGTCTTCCCTACAACAAGCTGGCCTTTCTGGCATGAGGGCCAGGAGTCCCAGTGTAGGCTCCACACAGCGGGTGGAGTTGTGGGGCAGATGGGCCGGGGACTGCAGTGATGGGGCAGCTGGGTCTTGGGCTAGTGAGTGGGCTTCCCCTGAAGGCCTTCCAGCTGGCGACACTGTCTCTGCCTGAGCCCACCTCCCTCCAGGATCCCCACCCAGGCCCAGGACCTGGGATGCCTCACTGCCAGTGGGGATGCCCTTGGCTGTCAACGAAGGGCTGGCCTGCTGGACTGGAACCTCCCCTGGGCTGGGGACAGGAGCCCGGTCACGTCCACCCCCGGGCAGGGCAGGCCTCCTCTCAGACCTTGTCCACAGGCGTTCACCAGCGGCATGAGACGGTACCTGCAGTACTACCGGGCCTGTGTCCTCTCCACGCCGCCCTCTCTCAGCCTGCTGACCATTGGCTTCCTCTTCAAGAAGCTGGGCCGGCAGCTCAGGTGAAAGGCTGGGGACGCTGCTGCCACCATGGGCTCAGGTGGTGCAGGCAGGACTGGGTAGGCAGCAGATGGCTGCAGTGGCTCAGGCCTGGGGACCAGGCCGCCTGCTCAGCACCTGACCCAGCCCTTTGGGTCCAGGTACCTGGCCGAGCTCTGTGGTGTGGGCACTGGACTCCCAGGGACCAACAGTGGTGGGCCCAGGGCTGCCTTCCCAACCGTGAGTGGCTGTGTGTGGAGGGGACCGGCCGTATAGTGGGGGAGGAGTGGGCGTCCCCCAGCTGTCCGCTCCCCTGCCCTTTTGCGCCCACAGGGCGTGAAGCTGCTGTCGTACCTGTACCAGGAGGCCCTGGACAACTGTAGCAATGAGCACTACCCGGTGCTGCTGTCACTGCTGCAGACCAGCTGCGAGCCCTACACGCGGTGAGACAGGCTGTGGGGCACCGGGGTGGGGCTGTTCATGCCCAGGTGAAGGTTGTCTCTAGGGACGAGGTCCCAGTGACTGGGCCCGCTCGGCCCCGCATGGGCTCACACAGTCCCGGGCCGCCTTCAGGTTCATCCATGACTGGGTGTACAGTGGGGTCTTCCGGGACGTGTACGGGGAGTTCATGATCCAGGTCAACGAGGACTACCTCGGCTGCAGAGGTGG